GCTGGAGTAAATGCTGAACCTTTCTGACCAGGCTTTTTGTAAAGGTTCTGGCCAATGTCAACATTGGGAGCCTCATCTGCAATGTAGGGGCTGGTGCACCTGCCCCAGCAGCTAGTGCTGCACCAGCAGGAGGTCCTGCCCCCTCCACCACTGCTGCCCAGCTGAGAAGAAAGTGGAAGAAAAAGAAGAACCTAAGGAGTCTGATGATGACAAGGGCTTTGGTCTTTTTGACTAAACCTCTTTTGTAACATTCAACAAAAGGCTGAATTCTGTTTAAAAAAAAAAAAAAGTAGCCCGGCCAGCGTGGCTCAGTGGTTGAGCTTTGATCTAATGCAGGAGATCGCTGTTCGATCCCGGGTCAGGGCACATGCCCGGGTTGCGGGCTCCATCCCCAGTCGGGGGTGTGCAGGAGGCAGCCCATCAATGACTCTCTCATCATTGATGTTTCTCCCTTCCTCTCTCTGAAATCAATAAAGACATATTTTTTAAAAAAGTGTACAAATCCTAAGTGTAAGCTCAATGAATTTTCACAAAATGAACACACTCATATGATCAGTACCCAGATCAAGAAACCAAAACATTTCTAGTACCCTAGGCTCTCCTCATGTGCCTTCTAGTCACTACCCTTCTCAAGGTTAACCACTAGTCCAATTTCTAATGTTATCACTTTGNGGTTAACCACTAGTCCAATTTCTAATGTTATCGCTTTGCCTTTTTGAACATAATACAAATGGAATCATAAGGTATTTTTATGTGTGTGTACGTNTTGCCTTTTTGAACATAATACAAATGGAATCATAAGGTATTTTTATGTGTGTGTACGTGTGTGTGTGTGTACATTCTTTTGTGTCTGCCTTCCTTTGCTTCTTAAAATGCATTCATATTATTGCCTGTAGTTACAGTTTTTATTCTAAGTTATGTATAGTATACTATTGGATACACATTTTTAAATAAATTACTTTGTTCTCTAAATCATAGTAAGATCTATATTGATTTTTTATTTTTAAAAAAATTGATTTTAGAGAGGGAGGGAGAGAGATGTGAAACATCGATGTGAAAGAGACACATAAATCAGTTGCTTCCTGTATGTACCCTGAGTGGGGATAGAACCTGAGACCTTTTGGGGCACATGATAATGCTCCAACCAACTGAGCCACACCAGCCAGGGCAAGAGTTATATTGATTTTTAAAGTAGGACTATAGATGGGTTATTTCTCTATTCATTTACTTCATAAAAGTAGCATTCAAAATATTTATTCTAAAATGCATGCATTAGTTCTGATAGGTTGATGGCCAAGTTGCATCTTCCTGAATTTTGCCCTTTGGATCTTTGCGCAGTTGTGGTGACCTAGGCAGTCCCCCCTTCCTGACACCCTTTCCTTCAATTCTTGGATGATTCATTATTTCTCTGTGAATTCTTCTTCTCTAGCTATGCTTATGTGCTCTTTTGCGAACCCGTATATAAGTTGAGTTTAGCATTTATCTCACCATGCACTTGTCTCTCTCTGAAAACAAGGACTCTCATTGTCTTGTTCACCATAGTATTTTGTCTATCACATGACTGGAATTCAACAAATGTATTGAACAAATAAATGGACACCTCAGCCCATATTTAGAGCCTTCTTGACCACCTGGGGCCTTTGCCAACCCACATTTAGCCCTCTCTGGACAAAAGGTCAAGCTGTGTATGTTTTTTGTGTGTGTCATGGACCTCCTGGCCCCAGCACTGCCACTTTAGCCCTGAGCACCACTGTCCCTCTGCCTTCCCAGCCTATAACATCAGACAAAGTCACTTCCAGAAAACTCTACCTGGACTTGTTTTCTGAGTGTTGTCTAGAGTTGGCCTCCACTTGAAAGGAACTGCCTTTAGCAACATGGCATCTGCCCAGCTCAACTTCTTCCACTTCTTTTCTCGGGTGTGATAGGAGCATTCAAATGCCTTTAAGGAATATGTCTGCAATGCAGACTTTATTCCTCTTTCAAAAATGGCCTACTTCTTAAATATCTGCATAGCAATTGCAGTAGGGACTTTTAAGATTCAGATATTCCATTTTATTTAACACTGAAACACTAGTATTTTTGTTGGTAATGGTATAAGTTTGGGTCCAGTCAGAAAGAGAGAAACCATATAGTAATTTCAACAAGGACAAGTTTAATATAAAGAATTACCCACTATAACAGGAAATTAGAGAAATGAGGGATTGGATTGTGTATTAGTTTCTTAGGACTGCCATAACGAATTACCACAAGTTGGGTGGTGGCTTAAGACAACACAGACTTATTCGCTTACAGTTCTGGAAACTAGAAATCTGAAATTGAGGTATCAGCAGGGTCATGCTCCCTTTGAGATCCTGGGCAGAATCCTCTCTGGCCTATTCCTAGCTTCTGATGGCTGCTGGCAATCTCTGGCAGTCCTTGGTTTGTAGATGCATCACTCAAATCTCTGCCTCTGTTGCCACATGGCATTCTTCCCATATGTCTCTGTGCTAGTCTTCAAATGGCATTCTCCTTTCCATACGTCTGTGTCCAAGTTTCCTTCTTATAAGAATGCCAGTCATTGGATTAGGGCTCACCCTAAACCAATATGACCTCATAGATGATATCTGAAAAGCCTTTATTTCCAAATAAGGCCACAGTCACAGGAACTGGGGGTTAGAACATATCTTTTGGAGTACACAATTCTGCCCACTACAGATAGTAAGAAGTAAAAAGAATTCTAAAGAACACAGGAAAGCAGATATAGAAGCAGCCACTACCCCTCAGGCTGACAGATATAGCACCCAAGAAAAAGTCTCTACCTGAGCCTCCCTGGGGCTGAGATCCAGAACTTTTTTTTAAATACTCACCTGAGAATTTTTTTTTAATTGCTTTTTAGAGAGAGAGGAAGGGGGAGAAAGGGAGAGAGAGAAACATGGATTGGTTGCCTCCCCTATGCTCCCTGACTGGGGATTGAACCCACAACCTAGGTATGTGCCCTGACCAGGAATGAAACCCGCAGTCTTTTAGTGTACAGGATGATGCTCCAGCCAACTGAGCCACCCAGCCAGGGCAGAGATCCAGCACTTTTTGGAGAGAAGACAGAAGTTATGCGGGTGCCACTCAGGTGTAACTTGTTGGAAATCTTCCCTCTAGAGTGTTAGGGAAAACTGTTCATGGGAAGGTATCTCACCAGAGGCACTATACCACAAAAGTGTCCAAGGGGTAGACCAGAGGAAGCTGCTAGCCATTGGGTGCTGTTGGCCACTATGCCCTGCAGAAGCCTGGCACTGGAGAAGCTGCTTGCACTGCAAAAGCTGGGAGCTGGGGAACACACTCGTACTGCAGGACCCTGCCAATAGGGCTCACTGGAACCAGAAAGTAAAACCCTTTTTTCCTGCAATGTCTCCCCAGTTGGCAAAACTTAATGATTCCAGCTGGCAAAGAAAAAAGATATTTAAAGGGCCCAGATCCATTTTCACAGGGCAGGCAAAAATAATGAATTCAGAGCTGAGAGATAATAAATTGATAACCAGTATGGTGACATATCATTGTTTCAGATAGGCAGCTCCCTTCACCCTACTTGACTCTCTCTCCAATCCTCCAAACCTTCTCCCCTTCCCCAACATCCTTACCATAAGCCCTATCACTTTACCATTCAGTTCCTCCAAACTTGACCCCTGCCTATCAGGCCCTGCTACCCGCACGCCCCCCCC